AACATGAATTTTGCTCAATGAACTGAACTTGGCCGCGGCGGACGCACCGTGCGCCGCCGACGGCGTTAAGCCGTTTCACGACCGACTTGACTTTTCTCTCGGCAAATCATCCATGACTGAACATAAAACATGATTTACTGAACAAATATGGACATGAAATACTCGAAGGACTGAACTTGATATACTCATTAAACACGAGCGGCTGGTGGCACGCGCTACGTGCGCGGCCACTTCCCTCGGCCCAACGACACTTAAACATGAAAGTTCTTTCGAACAACACTGAATAACTGATCATAATATATCATAAGGAAGCTGACTACATGCTTATTACTCGAGAGATATCCACTTAAAACATGAGTTCACTACGACGCACTCGCACGGCCAAAATGCCTAAGATCGCACCATGAACAATTCATAATTTGAACTAATATGCCCTTATCATGAATAACTCAAGGTAATCAAAGTTACCTCTTTATTTACTCGTTGAACCGCACCAGGTACTCCCGGCGTTCGGTGTTTCGTGCGTGATGCTCGCGTGCGGCGTGCGTGTGTGATGGGGCGTGTGTGCTGAGCTTGCGGTGCGATAGCTTGTACTCGGCTAAGCTTGCGGTTATCCTCTCCAACCCCTCACTAACTCTCTATGCTGACTTATGGACTATATATATATGGCTGAACATATGGAGAAAATAAAGCCAATTCTCCAAACTCTCACATATTTATATAGTAGCCGAATTGAGGAGGTTAAGAGGTGGGAATTAGAGTACACTTGGCTTAATTTTAAAGTAACTTAGCTTAGTCACCATTAACCATGCTTAGTCACATTTTAATTTAACCAAATGATGACACCTCCTACTTGCTTAAATAAGAAAGAAAATGGGAACAAGTCCACTAATTTTCCACTTCATTTCTTACGACCTTAGAGAAGATTTGGTACGGCTTTATGGACTTTCATTCGTGATTAATATTTAATTAATCACTTAATTATGCTTAATTAACTTTTAAGCATAATACTTAATTACCAAAATTATTCCGAACGTAAACGGAACGCCGAAAATAATTTCCGGTAATCTTGACTGAAATGACTGAAAATAATTAATTCCGAAAATTAATACTCGACATATTAATATATCGGAACTAAAACATGATTTAAATTAATAAACTGACGGGATATTACAGTTATTATGCGCCGAAGACTGAGGGGACGTTTCGGAGAAGAGGCGACTCTTCAAATTTGCAGAACTGCGAACAAAATGCGATGAATCGCATTTCACTCACATAACGTATTGACAGTAAATTGCATTATGTTTCGCATATCTGTTTAAAAACATATACGTAAAATAAGAAATTGTTTTTTATGCGCCGAATGTCATTTAATTGAGAGTCGAAAAGACGCAACCTGCCAATCTTTATTCGCAGCACGACGAACAACGTGCGATAAATCGCATATCATTCGCATACCTGAAATTATGGAGGGAAAAAATCCTGCCCAATGAATTACTAATAGAAGAAAGCTCAATCTTAGATAAAATGTTTATTAGGAGTTAAGGTAAATAGATAAATATGGTTTAATGTCAAATTGATTGACAATAGAAGAAAGTCAACTTATTAAAAAATATAACAATGTTCAATCTCAATTTTAGATAAAATGTTTATTAGGAGTTAATGTATATAGATAAATATGGTTTAATGTGAAATTGACAATAGAAGAAAGCCACTTATTAAAAAATATAATAATGTTCAAGCTCAATCTTAGATAAAATGTTTATTAAGAGTTAATGTATATAGATAAATATGGTTTAATGTGAAATTGATTGACAATAGAAGAAAGCCAACTTATTAAAAAATATAACAATGTTCAAGCTCAATTTTAGATAAAATGTTTATTAGGAGTTAAGGTATATAGATAAATATGGTTTAATGTGAAATTGACAATAGAAGAAAGCCACTTATTAAAAAATATAACAATGTTCAAGCTCAATCTTAGATAAAATGTGGATTACGAGTTAAGGTATATAGATACATATTGTTTAATGTGATTATTATGTTTGAAAGTGATAATAGAAGAAAGCCACTTATTAAAAAAAATAATAATGTTCAATCTCAATCTTAGATAAAATGTGGATTGTGAGTTAAAGTATATAGATAAATATTGTTTAATGTGATTATTATGTTTGAAAGTGATAATAGAAGAAAGCCACTTATAAAAAAAATATAATAATGTTCAATCTCAATCTTAGATAAAATGTGGATTATGAGATAAATTATATAGATAAATATTGTTTAATGTGATTATTATGTTTGAAAGTGATAATAGAAGAAAGTCACTTATTAAAAAATATAATAATGTTCAATCTCAATCTTTGTTAAAATGTGGAATATGAGTTAAGGTATATAGATAAATATTGTTAATGTGATTATTATGTTTGAAAGTGATAATAGAAGAAAGCCACTTATTAAAAAATATAATAATGTTCAAGCACAATCTTAGATAAAATATTTTTTAGGAGTTAAGGTATATAGATAAATATGGTTTAATGTGAAATTGACAATAGAAGAAAGCCACTTATTAAAAAATATAACAATGTTCAAGCTCAATCTTAGATAAAATGTGGATTATGAGTTAAGGTATATAGATACATATTGTTTAATGTGATTATTATGTTTGAAAGCGATAATAGAAGAAAACCACTTATTAAAAAAATATAATAATGTTCAATCTCAATCTTAGATAAAATGTGGATTATGAGTTAAAGTATACAGATAAATATTGTTTAATGTGATTATTATGTTTATAAGTGATAATAGAAGAAAGCCACTTATTAAAAAATATAATAATGTTCAATCTCAATCTTAGATCAAATGTGGATTATGAGTTAAAGTATATAGATAAATATTGTTTAATGTGATTATTATGTTTATAAGTGATAATTGAAGAAAGCCACATATTAAAAAATATAATAATGCCCAATCTCAATCTTAGATAAAATGTGGAATATGAGTTAAGGTATATAGATAAATATTGTTAATGTGATTATTATGTTTGAAAGTGATAATAGAAGAAAGCCACTTATTAAAAAAATATAATAATGTTCAATCTCAATTTTAGATAAAATGTTGATTATGAGTTAAAGTATATAGATAAATATTGTTTAATATGATTATTATGTTTGAAAGTGATAATAGAAGAAAGCCACTTATTAAAAAATATAATAATGTTCAATCTCAATCTTAGATAAAATGTGGATTATGAGTTAAGGTATGTAGATAAATATTGTTAATGTGATTATGTTTGAAAGTGATAATAGAATAAAACCACTTATTAAAAATTATAACAATGTTCATTTATATATTATCAACGGTAATTTAAAGAATAAATTACAATATATCATAAGATATTATATTGGTTTAGGGTTTAGGGCTTAGGGTTTAGGGCTTAGGGTATGTGAGCGGGGGTATGCGAAATTGCATACCCCCTTCGCACTTCTATTCGAAAGTTATTTTTTATTTCTTTCATCTTTCAGTTATGCGAGGTGGTATGCTAATTGCCGCATATTGCTCGTATACAACCCCCTTTCGCACTTCTACTCGAAAGTTTATTTTTTATTTATATCATCTTTCATTTATGCGAGGGGGTATGCGAATTACCGCATATTGCTCGCATACCCCCTTCGCACTTCTACTCGAATGTTTATTTTTTATTTCTGTCACCTTTCAGTTATGTGATGGGTTATGCGAATTTCCGCATATTGCTCGCATACTACCCCCTTTCGCACTTCTACTCGAAAGTTGATTTTTTATTTATATCATCTTTCATTTATGCGAGGGGGTATGCGAATTACCGTTTATTGCTCGCATACCTCCTTCGCACTTCTACTCGAAAGTTTATTTTTTATTTCTTTCGTCTTTCATTGTTTAATTTAGTTTAATTTTTTTCTTTCAGGTATGAGAATATAATCATACATACATACATACATACATATAACAAACAACAAAATGCAACAAACAACAAAAATATAATAAAATGCTAAAAAAAATGTATTACATGATTCATTAATAATCTGAGGCGGGAACTGTGTCTCCATCTGTATTAAACTCAAAAATTTCCATAGCCAATTGGCGCCTCATTTTCTCAGCCCACTGCTTGTTAGACTTGGCTCTGTGACTCGTCCCCGTTATCAATGCTCTTACCATCTCCACAACGCATACACCATAAGAAATTTTGTCATGTTGCAAGGTAGTATCTTTGGGCCACATGAATTTCAATTCGAACTTTTCTCACTCCCTCTACTCCCGCATACGTGGCATTCAGTGGAATTCCTTTTTGGATCTTTTGGAGTCCTTTGACGCGTGATTCGCGAATGTGCTTGTTCTTTTTTTGATACATTTGCGGTAGGGGGTCAAACACACGTATCGTTCCCTCGCGTAAAAAGATCTGGACAGTCACGTAGTGGTTGGACAAATTCACTACTCCAATAATCTGTTGCATTGAGTTGTGAGAAATTCACTATTTTTTTTAGGAAAGTTTGCAATAGTAATTGATTCAGAATCATTGAAAACTTACAAATTGAATGTCCCTCCAACGATACGGATTCCCTCAACCGCCGACCCCCTCATCCACAATGCAAATCAAATATCGGAGGGTCTCCGATTCCGGGTCCACTTCCCCCTTATCGATCTCCTTCTCCAATTCCTCCAGCATCAACTATATAAAATACAACAAAATAATAAATAATAATGTTATTAATATAATTATTAATAAAAATAGAATGACAAGGAAAAGAGAAAGGATTAAAATAATCTCACAAAAAATGTAGTCGGCACGATGGTATAAGTGCCCAACATCTTCATCGGTGGCTGCAACTTAAAAAATTGTGGATTGCTTTGCATAATCCCCAAGTATGCATTCACGTGTTGTTTTATAAAATCAAACCAAACATCATCCATCAATTCATTTTTATACGTTAAGATATTACAAGACAAACATATGCATACCTCGTCCAACATCATTTCATCCACATTAAGCAACAGCTGAAACCACTCCCGGCCTACCACATATAAAACGCCGACATTCCTCCTATTAAATAATAGAATAAAAAGTTATTTTTTTTAATATAAACAATAAAAGATCTTTTGGATGTACTTACATTTCTTTGTCTTCGGATGCAATAAACCGATCAAACGCGCACTCCTTTCTAGCATACCGTCTGTAACTCTCGGGTAGATATGGACTTACAATAGCACATCCTGGTTGTCTTTGTCGATCAACTTTAATCTCGAAAGACGAGGACTGCGGAGAAGGAGCGGTGGGATCGACGGCTGCCTTGGGGAACGATTGGGGACGAGGGGTGTCTCGGAGGTGGAGGTGGGATCGACGGCTACCTTGGGGAGCGGATTGGGGACGAGGGTGTCTTGGAGATGTGAGTAGAGGAACGTTGACTCTTACGAGAGGGGGTGACAGTTGTCTCGGAGGGGGTGTGGTAATGCTGCCTCTCATGGGAGGGGGAGGGGGC